GATTAATGCTGATCTAATCTTACATTTTATGAGAGAGGAAAATAATCTAGCAGAGAGAGAATTTATCATACAGTGAAAGGTAGATGGGTTAAGACCCAACAATAGACATTATTAGGCATGATAAAATCAAAAGGTATTTAAACTACAGTATTTAAAATGCTGATTAAATAACTCACAATGGATGCTGTTCCATGTTGCATAAAAGGCTTAGTTTCCTGCAGAATCAGCTGGTCCCCTGAGCACTGGTCCCCATATCCTGTTTTAGGGTGGATGCTTTCCCTTGCAGGGTCCTATGGAGCCACCCTTGTGTGTGCTAGTAAGCTGTATGTGTCTTCACAAACACACAGAATCAGCAAGACAAGACACTCCTCTGCTCCCGGGTCCTCCTTCCTGCTTACTCCCTGCTCCAAGCTCAGTAGACAGATAGTTGCTGGACACTGAGCAGTCCCTTGTTCAGGGAAGACCAGCTAAGAGAGTTGGAACCATCTGTTTGGAAACATGATGACTGTAACTGATTGTGCAAACATATAAAGAGATACTTTGCTGGGCAATGTATATTGGTTTAATATGGATATTCATTTATAGACAATGCTTATATGCTCACTTTCTTGACCACATTTTGCTTAGACTGAGTAACTTCACTTCCCAGGTAATTTTTAATCTTGAAAATTTAAAAAGAGATTTTGCGGCGCTAAAAGCCCCTACTGTGACAAACTAATGATCTAAACAAAACAAGTGACTCACATGTGCTGTGAGTAATATAAATTAAATATCAGTGAAAACTCTCCTCTAGAGCTGTCCTCTAGAGCTGTCAATCTAAATTTATATCTGTGAAAATTTAAGGGGAACCGAAAGACCAGGTGGTCTCTTGAAATTGTGACCGTATATTGTGACCGTAAGTACCGTATATACTCGAGTATAAGCTTCAATTGAAAAATCAACAAACAATTCAATATGAGTTCATATAGTGATGAGAAAATTCCTTTTGTTAAACGTCCTCCAATCTCTTAGATAACGTGCTGGTGTATCCACTATTGGTGCATAACGTGATCTTCAGAGTGTTTCACACAAACAAAAAACCCCTAGGCAGTGCTCACTCACCGCATACAAGTCCTTTTAAAATTTTGCAGTCAGTATGAGGCAGGTATAGGATCAGATATCTCTCTGGTACTTCCTCCAGGTGTTTAGCCGGATGATGTTACCCAGAAATCACAAAATCAAGAGGGACTCCTCATGGTGAAGCATATTAAAACCGAAACGGTTT